GTAAATAAAACAAAAATGTGGTTAAATATATCGTATATATGTAGCGCATTCTCCCTAATTTGAATTTGAACACTTTGAACTCACTCGTCACACTGTTCTATGGTTTAGTCCGATATGAGCTAGTAGAGGGACCTAATGGACCAATAGATCATGGGCTCAAACGATCCAAAATTAACTGGTTAAACTCATTAACATTGTTAACCAACATTCGTTAACTACTAGGACATTCCACTATAGCCTAGTAGTTGCACTCCCCTCACTATAGATATATTTCTGTCCATTTGATATAACCATGATTAGTAAGTTGATCCTTCACAGGTTGTTCGTAACTAGAGCTGGGTTAATTTACCGTTTTACCCCTGAAGTTACTTCTTGTTTCTTATGTCTCACTGATCCTCTAATGAACAATTGGTTTGTGATCCAACTAGTAAACTGGATCCCTCTCAGGCCAATGAGAGGGTAGGGCCCCTTGTTCAATACCTGGAGTCAGTACTTAAGGGAACTACCTCTCTTCTATCCCTAGAAGTGGGTAGGAGTGAATTCCATCTTGCACCCCACATCCCCAGCTATTCACCCAGTCTTACCCCTGAAATGGGAGACCTATTGAGTCGGCGAACTCGAGTCACTCTCACCCATGCAAATTTAAGGATAATTCCGAATAAACAGAAGTTCACAGTTAGCTTAGGATTAACATCGAGTTACCTAGGTCATCGAGTAAAAAGAAAATTTTTCTCAACAGTAAACGACATTATAAAGTGAGAGTGATTTTCTTCATGGTCCGATCTTATGCAATACTCATTGCATAGGACGCCCCCACTCACATGTCTCCACATGTACAATTTAGTGATCACATTGTTTATATCATATACAAAAGTGGGCCGCATCCATAGTGTCCCTAGAATAAGGTACTCAACTTTATCCTTATACTATAGATCATTTTGACTATATACTTGAACTTGATCCACTCTTATGTCTCTACATATAGTTCAAGTAATGATACTATAGCCAGAGTGTTCTTAGTTTATTGGATTTAGATTAATGATCGTAAAGTTCACTTTATTCAATAACAATCTTTACTGAATAAACAACAATAATAACTTTATTGAAAATAGAATATGTTTTTTTTACAAACTATGAGTTTTAGGACATAAAACCCAACAGTTAGCTCATATTCACTCAAATAAGATCGATGGATTGATGCGCGATATCATCAAAGAACATTTACATAAAGACCCATTAGCCAAAGCCGTCGTTGAACTAGCCAAAGTTGGGAAGACACGACAGTTTTGGGTCAAGCGAGACCTTCTAATGACAAAGGGAAACATATTATACGTTCCAAGAATAGTAGAACTGAGGAAGAAGCTCATTCAGGAATGCCATGATATTTATGGGCTAGACACCCTGGGTAGCAACCAACATATGCCTTAATAAAAAAGGGTTACTTCTGGCCAAATATGCGGGACGACATCATGCAGTACACCAAGACGTGCCTCATCTGCCAACTGGACAAAGTCTGGAAAGCCAAAGTCTTGGGACTCTTGAAATCTCTACTCGTGCCAACAAGGCCTTGGGAAAGTGTGTCTCTAGACTTCATAACACACCTCCCAAAAGTCGGGGAATATGATGTCATCTTGGTTATCGTAGACCGATTCTCAAAATACGTGACGTTCGTTCTGACCCTCAAATTATGCTCGGTTGAACTAACACCCCAACTATTTTTCAAACACATTGTAAAGTTATGGGGCATTCCATCGAGCATCATCAGCGATAGGGATGGTAGATTCATTGGCACATTCTGGACCGAGTTATTCGCCTTCTTAGGAACGACTTTAAACATCTCCTCGAGCTATCATCCTCAAACCGATGGACAGACGGAACGATTCAACTGCTTGCTCGAAGAATACTTACGTTACTTCATCGACGCTTGCCAAAAGAACTGGATACAACTGCTAGATGTCGCCCAATTCTGTTTCAATTGTCAAACGAGTTCGATATGGGAAAGAGTCCCTCAGAAATTGTAAGTGGATAACAGCCGGCCTTGCTTCATATTATTGATCATCCTTATGCAGGAAAAAATTCTCAAGCTCAAAACTCCACTAGAGAATGAGAGCAGACAACAAATATAGCTCGGACATACTTGGAGAAAGCTTCTAAGCATATGAAGAAGTGGATGGATAAGAAGCGCGCCCCCTCCAATTTCGAGCAGGAGACCAAGTCCTCATCAAGTTGAGGCCAGAACAGATCAGATTCCGCAGTCAAAAGGACCAGAGACTAGTTCGAAAATATGAAGGCGGTTGAAGTTCTTAAAAAGATCGGGGCTACTTCATACAAAGTTGCGCTACCGACATGGATGAAAATCCACCCGGTATTTCATGTGAGCAACTTGAAGCCCTATCACCCTCACCTAGACGACGACCAGCGAAATGTAATCACTAGACTGAGCAACGATCTGAAACAAAGAGACACAAAAGAAATAGAGGAGATTGTTGACTTCTGGCAATTGAGAGGAAAACGTCGACGGAGTAAAAACCGGCCGAAGGAAAACTTCAAAGAAAAAAAATAACGAAAAAGAAAAGGGCTAGGGAAATATTTGCTGAAGACTCATAGTCGTAATTTGATTCAGTTTCACATATTTAAATAATAAACTTATCCTAAATTTAGGAGGAGTGGCGCAAACCTTCCACCCAAAGTTAGCCAAAATGGCCAGCAAAAAATATGCTCTTCCACTAAACGAAGAGTGTTAATTCAGATATTCAAAAGTCAAAAACAACTAACGAAATTTAAGGAATAAAACCATAGCTTTTATCTAATAGAGACCCTAGCCGACAAGGTTAGGAAGATAGGAAGACCTATACGGAAGATTCACGAATTTCTTGTCAAATGAAAGAATCTCCCTACAGAGGAACCAGCTGGAAACGTGCCGAAGATCTAGACTCTGCCGCCACCCACATCGCCAGGATTGAAAGTAGTAGGTTGATATAAACATCATCCAATTAGGTGGGGGAGAATGTCACGGTCATGCTCGTCCAAGGCGTGTTTCCCATGGCCGCATGCCCATGACAAGCCAAACCCTTTATGTCTTTCCATGGAAGTATGACGTTTCAGAAAAATCATGTCTTGACTTGCCAAACATGAAATGCCTCAAAATGTACTATAGGGGATATGACTAGTTGTCAACTTCTCCCTACTAATAGTTATATAAATTGTTGTTACTCTCTTGCTTGTATATATAACGTCTCTTTCAAAATCTCTCTTTCGAAAATCTCTCTCTGCCCTTGTTTTCTAAAACCTTCTTCTTAAACCAAGGCTAGAGGCTCGAGTATACGTCGCTTGGCCGTACGCGACGTAAGAACGAATTGGCTTAGCTCACTTGTCGTTGGAAAGTGAGTATCGCACAATCGTAAGTCCGCTGTCATCAAGAGTGCGATTGTGACACACAGCTCTCGAATGCTCCTCTACCTCGACCGACAGCCTGCAAATACTTGAGGAAGAAAAGGAAAAATGGGATGAGTATAAAAACTATACTTAGTAAGCCACCTACTTGTAGGTTCTCATCGCATCCTTAACTTAATAGAATTCTCACAGTCTTCTAATTGGCTCTAGAACATCTGGTTCTGGTCTTAGCCCTTTGGGGACTTGCTCTTTGGAGCTTGCTCCTTAGAGTTTTACTAGTTCTCTGTCCTTTCATTTCATACTAAGGGTTCCTTATGCTAAGCTGACATGATCGACGTCTCTCTATGAGGCGCTACCTCTACATGGCTATCTGAGATTACATGGTATCTAGCCTAGGGGTATGCTGAGTACCTCCTAAGCCCATATAGTCCCCCTAGGGGGGGCACGAACCAACCCATTCCCGTGCAGCTAACAGGTTGTACGATGTGGGGACACATTTCCCATGCAAAATGGCTAGGAGCAGTAAGAACTGATCATGAACCTCTGGTTCCCCCACGAAGCTATAGAGACCTTTCAAACAACTGACAGTCTAAGGACACTCATAAGGTACTTCTTCGTCGTGGAAATCTGTTAGGTTCCTAGGGGGAAGGTTGTATCTAGGGTGAGTGACTTGTCGCTCCTAACTACAAATCCCTAGGCTTATCATTAGTAATGGGTCTGGAAAATAACAGAGTGTGCATGCAACCACCGTCTAACATCATCACACATAATTTATGCAAATTAAACATGCAAACTCAATAGAACAATGACCTCCATCAGGCACCCGGAAAGTAAAGTTTACACTCAACGGGGCGATGTCATCCCTCAAGTGCCCAAAACGCGGAGTTCACCTATTCAACATGAATTAAACATATGCATCCGTATAGCAGAAGCTTAAAGCATACTAGCAACACCCAGATAATTTACCAAATACGCTCATAACAATCAATCTACTTAGTCTCATTCATGGAAAGCTAATCTAAAGCAAATGTACTAGCATGCATGCAATTCAAGCGAATCCTACAAGTATTTCTTTCCTAAATATCGGGTGTTGACTTACCTGGATGACGCGTGCCCTTTCGCTAGCGTCTCTACGCTCGTAGGGTGTCCAAAAACACTAATTATCCTTGATTAGATCCCTATTCACATAAAAATATTATTAAAATAGGAATTGGGACAAACATAAGGTAAACGGACGAAAAACGAGCCTCTCACACGCCCTCACGCGTAGGAAAGGATAGGAAAGGATGCCAATCGCAACCTACACGTGCGGACGACTTCACGCAATCTCGAGTCGGGTCGGTTCGACCAGCGGTTCAATTCGCTGCGGTTTGGCTTGGTTTCTGTGGGTGACACGCGTCATCGTTCCACTGGAGCTGCGTTACTCCAGCCGACGCTCGATGCGTGTCGCCACCCACTGAGCCGCGCTCCGCCTCTTCTTTCTTCTTCCTTTTTTTTCGATGCGTGTAGCCACCCACTGAGCCGCGCTCCGCCTCTTCTTTCTTCTTCCTTTTTTTTCTTTTCTCTCTCTCCGGCAATCCGTAGCCCTTTTTCGATCCACCATTTTCCGATTTTCATATCTTTTGACCGGAGCTCGGATTGATTTGGTTCCTTCGGCAAAGTTCAAGATCGTGTTGAGGGCTACATCTTGGTATTTTTTTTTTTCGTTATTTTAGCCTCAACATAGAATGAGATTTGAGCCATAGAAGTTCACTTACCGTTCTCTAACGATTCCTAAATTTCTGCCAAGTTTCTTCAAGAAGTCAGCTTCCCTAGATGAACGTATTCAAACATTAGGTCCCAATTTGTAAAGGTTAGTCTCAGATCAAGAACTCACCTCGACTCTGGACGAATCTTCGCGATGACTCCTCGATTCTCCCAAACCCTCTCCTAGTCTTTCCCTCCAGTCTTCCCTTTCTTTTTGGTGGCCTCTATTAGGGTTCCACTTGGACCCATGGGCTTGAGCCGATTTATTTTTATTATTTTTTTTTACAGCGTTATACATATACACCCTCATTATATAAGATACCTCCACTCACATGTCTTCATATGAATGATTTAGATGAAATCATTTGTAACAATTATAAGGTGGGTTGTATTAATTGTGTTTATAAAATAAGACACCCAAACTTATTCATATACTATAAACTCTTTATGTTATTACTTGAACATGATTTTCGTGCATGTTAATCACGTATTATTCAAGTTTATACTACTAACCTTGGTTTTTTCATTCAATGGATATACTAAATTGTACATAAAATAATTAAAATTAATATAAAATTAAACATTTAATTACGAGACTTAAGGATATAAATCCTAGACACTCTACCATTGTGTCAATCTTATTGACTTTGGCAGCAATCTCTACAAATTGAAAACCGTTAGAAACCTCTTGCAGGTAGACATTTACTCTTCAATCTCGACCAACCGTCAACATAGACTTGCTTAATTATTTTTTGTTGACATATTTGTTAATTCCAATTCTAGGAATGAGTTAACTCTAATACCAACTGTCACAATCACACTCTTTTGGGACTTGTAACGTAATTTTGCAACATTTACTCTTTCCGTCGAGAAAGTCAACCAATTGAAACTTGGGTTGTAGTTGGCTCAAACGACTTATGCAAGCCTTCACCTCCACTCTTGAAAAAGATTTTAGAAAATAGGGTTTGAGACAGTAATGTTATAAGCTAACAAACAATAAGGAGCAACAACGACATTTAGAACATATAACTCAATTCAAAAGACTTGACAACTAGTTGTATCCCTCTATACATTTTGAGACAAATTGCATTTGGTAAATGTAGACTGCAAAAGTATCGAAAAATTATAATAACAATAAAAAATAAATAAATAGCGGTATTAGTTAGGGGTGTACACCCAACCTGAAAACTCGAGAACCCAACCCGACCCAACCCGAAATACAAGGGTTGGGTTGGGTTGTGTTGGATTTCGAGTTTGGGTTGGGTCAATTTTTTTTAACTCGATCTGATTTGGGTTGGGTTCGGGTACCAAAAGAAAAGTTCTCCCTCCCTTTACTCTCTGCATCCTTTAGCTTGAGGGAAATGCCTCTCATTTCTGCCCACATCATTTCTACCTCTAAGCTCAATTTCTACATAAAAGCTAAAAAATCTACTTTGGTTATTCTCTTTTCTGATTTCTTCTCACTTCTCTCTCAACCTCTTCTCTTACAACCTCACCTCATAGCTTTTTTCTCTCTTTCTCTCTTGCACAGCCACGCCAAAATACAAACCGTCAGTCAAAATACAAATCTCTCTCGATATTTAGTCTCTCACAAGGAATTTGATCTCAATAGCATTCTCTCGCGTTCTTTGTCTTGTTTCTTTCTCGCACGCCGTATTTCTTTCTTTAGTCTCCTGGAACGCTATAACGGGTAAACTTTTTCTCTTTTTATTATATCCTCTTGCAAAGACTGATTGTATATTTTAACTTTGATGCATTCTATTATAATTTGAATCATAACAATTCTATTTTACTTTTTAGAGATGAAAACAATAGTGCAGCTATATGTGCAAGTAGCTCAAATAATTATAATGTATCAAAACCACCATTGGCTACACAATCTGAATTTAAGAGAAGAAACCCAATAAATCAATTGTGTGGGACCACTTTACAAAATTAGAGAACAATAATAAGAGGTGCAAATGCAACTATTGTTCTAAGGAGTATGCTTGTGATACTAATTCTTGTGGAACTAGCACGTTACGGAAGCACTTAAAAAATCAGTGTAGAAAGTACACATATAAGGTGGAGGACAAAGGACAAACCACAGTAGTTTCAACGTTCAATAGATGGAAAAGGTTAGTAATATTGTTACTTCATTATTTAGTCAAACAAGATGATAATTATGGATGAATTATCATTTAAATTGGTAGAGAATGTGGGTTTCAAATTGTTTTGTAGTATTGCATGTCCTAAGTTTGACCCTCCGTCAAGAGTAACCATTGCTAGAGATATATTTCAGCTCTATCTAGAAGAAAAAAAGAAGCTGAAAGATTTTTTAGTCGGTCATTCCAAGACGGTTTGTCTTACCACTAACACATGAATTTCGTTGCAAAACATTAATTACATGGTAATCACCGCATATTTTATTGATTCAGAATGGAATTTTCATAAAAGAATTCTTCACTTTTGTTAAGTTGCTAACCACTAGGGAGAGACTATTGACAAGATTATTGAGAGTTGTTTATTGGATTGGAGAATCGATAAGGTTTTCTCTATCGCAATTGATAATGCAAGTTACAATGATATAACTATTTCATATATTATGAGAAAGCTTAGATGAAGAAATATTACACCTGAGCTATTGTGCTCACATAATTAATTTGATTGTGAATGAAGGGCTTAAAGAAATGCATGACTCCATTTCTAGTGATCGCAATGACGTGAGGTATGTTAGATCATCCCCAAAAGATTGACAAAATTTAAAGATCGCGTTGAACAAGAAAAAAATTAAATGTAAAGCACTTGTTTGTTTGGATGTGGCAACTCGATGAAATTCCACTTATTTGATTTGATGCTTGATCATGCCTTGAAATTTGAAAAAGCTTTTAAAGTATTAAAGGAAATATGTGACTTCTAATTCTTATTTTCATGAACTTTAGGGTATTCGAGAAGTATAAAGTAGTTCTTTATATGTGACTTCTAATTCTTATTTTCATGAACTTTAGGGTATTCGAGAACTTTTAATTCAGTGGAGTAAAAATGTGAACTATGTTTTAAGTAACATGAGTTCAAATATGAAAGTTAAGTATGACAAATATTGGGGCTCAATGGAAATAATTAATAAGTTGATATTCATAGCAGTGGTACTTGATACTCGTTACAAATTGGATTACATATTATTTTGTTTTTCGAATATTTATGAAGATGCTACGGCTAAAGTGATGGTGGATGACATAAAGAATTATTTAATTCGTTTGTATGATTACTACCAGTTTTATGATAATGCTCAAGATCATCATCAATCTGAATCAAGACTCACTTTTAAGTTCATGAGTATGGAAATGGACACAATTGATAAAAAGAATTCGAGTGGTTCAATATTAGTATTATCAAGATACGAAGAAGAAGAGAAGAACACAATTCACTCGAGTTAAAGAATGATGTGGATCGATAATTTTAATGTTTTGGCATGGTGAAAAACAAATGAGTTCAAATATAGAGTTTTATCGAAAATTGACCAAGATGTTTTGGCCTTTCTAGTGTGACTGTATCTTCTTAATTAACATTTAGTAGGGGTGGGAGGATTCTTGATTTTTTTAGGAGTTCTTAGACACCTAAAGAAGCTCTGATATGTACACAAAATTGGATGGTAGAAAATGAGCATGGTTAGATATTCCTCAACAACTTGAAGATTTGTTCTAAGATTGAGACAGATAACTCCAAATCTATATATGGTCTATTTGTTAAGATATATTTTATATCACAATTTATACTTTATTTTTCTTATGTTTTAAGACCTTCCAGCTCCACCAATTTTATGCTTTATCCAAACAATCTTAGTACTGACTTTCAAGATGCTATATATATATATATATTTTTTTTTTGTAGGAATTAAGAATGGTTAGATAGTTTTAAATTTTTAGGCATTTTGTCAAATGATTATATATAGTAAATGTACATAATTTAATTAGATGTAGTAACTTTGGAATTAATTCATTACATATTATTTACATATTTATATGTGATAATATGAATGCAATAGAGAGTTTGATATTTTTGATCTACAACCTATAGGTAGTAATTGTTTTATTATTTTAGGTCATACAAATTAAATTTTTAAATTTTTTTTTGGACCAACCCGAAAATAGAGGGTTGGGTTGGGTTACTAATCCAACCAACCCTAACCCAATCCAACTCGACCACGTACCCCTAGTATCAGTAGCAGAGTTAAAAATATATAAACTTTGGAACCAAAATAATTAACCATCCCAATTTTGAGAATTATAATAATAAGAAAAAGATTAAATAAAAGGAAAAAAAGGAATAAAAAAAAGGAATTAATTGAATGAGATAAAATAAAAGGAAGTGTAGAGATTTTGGGGGAGCGACTTTTTAACTCCCGTTGTTGGCGACTTGGCGTCATCTTCCACAGAGACAACCCAATTTCCTGAACGCCCAGAAACTTCTGCAGACGATCGGTGCAGCATCGGAAGATCCATGGGTATGGAGGAAGAAGCACAAATTATGCTCATCTCTCCGGCGGAGCCAAAAGGTAGTCCAGTCAAGGACCAGCAAGCCGCCGGAGTTGGAATCCTCCTTCAGATCATGATGCTCGTTCTCTCTTTCGTTCTCGGCCATGTTCTTCGCCGGCATAGAGTCTATTTTCTTCCCGAAGCCAGTGCTTCTCTTCTCATCGGTATCTTTAATTCATTTCTCTTGTTGATACGCTTTTCATTCTAGCTTCGAATCTGTTTACGCTTCTTAATTTGGGACTCAGTTGACAACTTTACCGTTGCATTAGGTTTTTCTTTTCATTATCGCCTCTCTGTTTTTCTCCCTTTCCTTTAATCACTTGTATGTCAGGTTTAATCGTCGGCGGGCTTGCCAACATTTCCAATACTGAAACTAACATCAGGTTCAATATCTTCCTTCTTTCCATCTCCCAGTGGCGAGGTCTCGTGTGGCCGTTTTGCGAAACGGAATGAGTTAGCCAAGTTTCCTCATATTCTACTTCTGCAGGGCGTGGTTCAACTTTCACGAAGAATTTTTCTTCCTTTTCCTTTTGCCTCCGATCATCTTATATCCTTCAGTGTCGTAATTTACATACCAATTAGGGGTTTTTCTTTTTTTTGTTCCCCATTTTGTTTCCTTAACACTCTTGTACTCAGTCAGGATTTAGTCTCTCACCTGTAAGTGCGACCCTCCAACCAAT